GCCATCAACAAATCCAAAAAAAGAAAACTGTCATCTACCTTTCTTCATCATAATTTTCATGAATTTCTTACTCTTCCACTCATATCTTAGGAATTTGATTTCCCAAAACTCCTGAGGCTCGTTTTTTCTTTTCTCCACTTGTTACGATCCTGGTCATTTCCCAAGTGCAAATTCACAATGAAAGACAATGCCACCCAATTGCGAAAGAAATGAAAGCACTTGCAAAGAGATAAAGACCAAAGAGAGGGATAGAAGAGGGAAAAGAAGAAGAAGAAGAAGAAGAAGAAGAAGAAGATGTGCACCAAAAAGACCAATGACAATTCCCCCCTTCTCTCTCCACCTTCCTCCTCCTCCTTCTCTTCACCAATCTTATTCTTCTCTCAATAATAATAATAACAATGAATCGATGAACCGGAATCAATATTCGAAGTTCCCTCTTACCGCTGACTCAACTCAACAACAACAACAACAACAACAACAACAACCAGGCCACCATAGCTATGGCTTCCCTCCTTCAGCCTCCTCTCGCATGCATAGGCTATGGCGGACTAATGAGGGTCTTGCCCTGATGTCCAAAGGACAACCCAAAGCAGCTATGGTGCTGCGCTGATGTCCAAAGGACAACACAAAGCAGCTATGCCGCTGGTGACTGGTCCGCCATGCCTGACTCTGCCTCGAGCTTCCTTGGTGCCGCACTACCCCAACTGGGGCCTTCCAAATGCAGCGCCCAACAAGGTGATGAAGATGGTGTCTACCATAGCCAGGTAAGTGCCCCGCCACTCTCCTACCATGCCCCCTTCTTCCTCCTCCTCAAGCTGGACTGCTCGCCATAGCCAGGCTGAGCTCCAGCGGTCCTTCACCTCTAAGCAGCGCTGCCTCAGTCCAGCGCTGCGCTCCAGCAGCATGTCGCCAATCCTTGCACACCGCAAATGAGGAAGAGCTCTTTGCTCTTCTTGGAGATATAGCGGCCTACCGGCCTCCTGGGCGGTGACTTCCTAGGCCGAGCGGCCTCCCAACAACCGGTACCTCCTCCCTTTCGGAGGGAAACATCATTTCAAGCTCTACTATCCTCCGTACAGGCCCTAGACCCGGGCTACTTGGACTGGTACCGGACTACCGCTATCCTACCGCTACTGGGCCTCTAAAAATGCCGACTTTTTGTCTTCTTCTGCTCGGCCTCCAGTACCCGACACTTCTACCACTACTTCAGTGGTACCGGCCTACCTGCTACTTGAGTGTTTTCCCCCTCTACTCTAAGTGCCGCGGGCCTACCCCCGCTACTCGAGTGTTTTCCCCCTGCAACCCTTCACATTCACGGCCACAGGTAAGTACCGGCCTTCGGGGCCTTGCAACCAACAAGTACCCTTGCGGGTCACACACACACTCAACCGACAAGCACCCAGACAGGCATGCAAACCAGCAGGCACGCACACACACACAGACATGGAAATCACAGCAGAATGCGGGAATTTCAACAAGGCATTCATTCCAGCGGCAAATCCCAGAAATCAGCAGTGTTCTCAGTCTGTGTTTTTGGCGGGTCATTACATTACCCCCCTCTCAAGACCGAGGTCCCTTCGAGCGAGTAACTCATTCAGAGTTGGCACAAAATGCATCGTAGGAGTAAATCAGAAAGAGAGACTTAGTAAGTCCGTGAGGAGTCATTTTTGCAACAAATTTAGTAGTCTGCCCCTCATCGATCTGTCGTTCATAAGCGTTCACAACACAGGGAACTCTCTTTAGCAACTCTTTTCGTTCGATCCAAAAAAATTCAGTCAACGGGTGATAAAGGAAGTGAACCTTGTACTGTTTGTTCCTCCCTCTTCCCTCGTGAGAAACGATTCTGTCTATCTCATGGCCGCCGTCGATAGGGCGAGGTATCATAGGGTCTCGAAAGGGAAACGTCTCATCATCAATATGTGGGAACAGTTTGGACGCATGAAAGACCGGATACGTGCGCAGATGAGGAGGCACGTCAATCACATATGAAGGACCAAAATCATCCCCAATCACCTTCAGAATCTGCCAAGGGCCATAGTACAATGGAAGGAGTTTTCGTGATATGCCCTCTTCATCAGAAAACTCGGACATTTTAACCCAAACATAATCCCCTACTTTGAATTTTTCTTCTTTGCACAACTTGTTAACATGTTTGATCATGGCATGTTGGCACTTGTTCATGGCTGCAATAACAACTTTGAGCAAGCGTGCGTACTTGGCATTGTAGCCAGGCATGTCGGGCATGAGACCAGGTGATGTTCAGGGAACAGATAGGAGAGGGGATTACGCATCGGCCATCCATTTTGCAACTTGTTTGGTGTCACGCAAGTTGCAGAGTGAATGGAGTTGTTATACAACCCCTTCACTTTGTGCAGCTCCTTGTCCCACGTGTTCAGATCTGGAACAATCAATGCGCGAAGTAGTTGGATGACAGTCTGGTTGATCTCGTCGGCCAATCCATTGGCTTCGGGGTGTCAACCAGAAGTCTTGTTCAGTTTAATGTCATAGATTTGAGAGGTGAAGTTCTTTCAATCTTTCCTGATGAATCTGGTGTCCTGATCACTCACAATAGTTTTCGGGACGCCAAACTGCAGAATGTACTGCTGATGGAATTCTTCAATGACAAGTTCAGTCGGGGCCTGGGGAGGGAAAGGAATCAAGTTCAGAAATTTAGAAAAACGGACCACGATGACCATGACTTGTGAATTTCCAGCCTCACTAACCTTTTTCATGATCGTGAAGTCGATGGAAATCGACTCACCAGGTTCATCCGGAATGGGGAGGGGTCTCAATAGACCATGAGGCCTATGCCTGTGGACCTTGGTTCTTTGGCATACCTGACATTCAACAATAAGTTTCTGAGCGGATCCTTCCATTCCTGGCCAATCAAACTGTTGTAGAAGGCTTCCATAAGTCTTCTCAAAGCCGACATGTCCACTCCGACCATGTGCCAAATCAAAGAAATGAGTTCGGAGAGGCGTGGTTGGGTACACACAAACGATCAAACTTCCCATATCGGCGGAATACAAGACCCTCGCACTCATGAAAATCAGGCAGACAGTTAGGGTCAGCCTTGAGCTGCTCAAGGATGGGACTAAGGTCCGGATCCTTGGCAGTGTGTTCGACCAGATCCTCCTTCAGTTTTCTTCGGAGGTCATACGAACCCACAAGGCAAGTCAAAAACTCAAGGTGACGTGAGAAAGCATCATCAACGCGATTATAACAGCCTTTCTTATGTTTCAATTCAAAATTGTACACATCAATTTCATGCGATCAGTTTGTGTCTTCATCCACTGCAAGGTTTGATGATCTGAGTAGACCTTGAAAAGCCGACCCAAGAGGTAGTGCTTCCAATGTGTGAGCGCGTCGCACAAGTTGTAGAGCTCATGCATGTATGTGGAGGTAGCTACCTTGTGACTGGGCATGCGTTTGCTGTAATATTCGAGCGGACGCAATCCATCACCATCATCTTGTTGCAGCACTGCACCAATCCCAAACCGGCTCGCATCCGTAGTGACTACGAATGTGAGGTTGGGATCCGCAATGCGGAGCACAGGATGACTCACCAATGCCTCTTTTAAGGCTTGGAACGCAGTCTCACACTTCTCACACCACGCATAGGTAACATTCTTACTGGTTAGTCTTGAGAGCGGGTGAGCAATGACAGAAAATTTTGGCACAAACTTTCGGTAGTACGAAGCCAAACCAAGAAAAGAACGCAGTTCGCGTACGTTCGCTGGTTGAGGCCAATTTCGTATGACCTCCACCTTGGTTGCCTCCGGCTCAAGGCCGTTTGCAGACAACCGGTGCCCAAGATAGATGACGCTGTCCCTTCCGAACTCAAATTTCTCTTAGTTGAGGTGCAGTTGTGCCTCCTTGAGGACCTGCAAGACCTCCTCAAGGTGCTTGAGGTGCTCTTCCATGGACTTGTTGAAAATCGGAATATCATCAAGGTACACAACCACAAACCTGTTGAGCTGATGGCGGAGTACCTTGTCCATGAGGCTCTGAAATGTGGCTGGTGCGTTTGTAGGACCGAAGGGCATAACGATGAATTCGTACAGCCCATCGGGTGTCTTGAATGCAGTTTTGTGCTGGTCACTCGGATCGACTTCAATCTGGTGGTAGCCAGATTTGAGGTCGATCTTGGAGAAGACCTTGCACCCACCTGCAACATCTAGCAGATCATCTATACGAGGCAAGGGATACGCGTTCTTCCGGGTGATACGGTTTAGGCCACGATAGTCAATGCACATCTGGAGTTTGCCTCCTTTCTTCGGCACAAACAGGACAGGTGCACCGAACTCAGACTCACTAGGCCTAATCCGTACACGATCGATCATGTCATCAATCTGCCTCCTCGACTCGTCCAAACCGCCTTGTCCCATACGGTAGACGCAGCCCGTTGGAGGAACACTCCCTTCTATTAATTCGATCTTGTGTTTGACCAGGCGCTCGGGAACTCCACGAGCTTCAACCAAAACTTCAGGAAAATAGCTGGCGAATGTTTGTTGGGACTTCCGGTGGAGGATCGTCCTCATCAGGAGAAAGAAAATCAGTTTGAGAATTTACAACAATTACAACCGGATTTGAGGTACTTGGATAAGAAGTAGAGGGATTATTCACAGTAGAACATGGAGAAGCTTTACAAAAGCTACATGTACATGCTCAAACTTCCTTGCGCCTGCGTACTGATTTGCAGAATTTGTTTGCACTTAGAAGAGTCACAGGGGACTCGCGCGTCTCATCCAATAGGATGGTACGCTCGTTCCCCTTGGCATCACGCACCACGAACTGATTCTCCGCCCACGTGGTCCTTAGGCCATGAGCCTTTAACCAGCCCAAGCCAATGACCGCGTCGAACGGACACTTGTCCATGACATAGAAGTTGAGCACATGTGTGACAGTGCGGTCCTTGTCAAAGGTGACGCGCACACCTTTGACAGCATGTGTAGAGGTGACAACCTCTTGGTTGCCCACCTGGGTCTGACAAGGGTTCTACAGTTCCACTTGCTTCATTCCCAGGCCCGCCTTACGAATCCCGTTAGGAGAAAAGAAATTAGTGGTTGAACCACTATCAATCAGCACGCGGGTGTATCGGCGGTTAATGAGCAGTTTAAAGAAGGTTAGCTCCACACTCCCTTGAACACGGCGTTGTTGCTTGAGCTGCAGCCAATGTTCCATGTGAGCATGGAAGGCGACTTCCTTAGACTCCTCCCAAGGCTCCGTGTATAGCACATGAAGTGCAGCAGCCTTGGAATCAGCGTCGTTCCGGGCTTCAAGAGTAGGCTGTTGATCAGCTTCAGGCTCATTAGAGGGGCCTGCAACTAATGTTCCAGCTTCCCTTGTTGTAGGGAGTGTTGATGACTCCTCTACGCCCTTTGCTTGTTTCCCTGAAGTCTATAACAGTCCTGCACAGCATGCCCATGCTTTTGACAATGCAAGCATATGCGCAGCTTAGATCTTCTTTCCCATTCCTTTTGACTGGTACGGAGGCCTTCCCAAGGCTTGGCAGACGCATCCTCCGGTTTCTCAGGGATCTTCGCATTCTTAGGGAGGTGGACAACAGTTTCGTTACCCGAACCACGTTTAGGCCCCTTGTTTGAAGCAGTCTTTTTAAACGCATTAAGTTTTTTGTCTTTGTTCACGTCAGACTCAATGGCTGATGTGGAACAACCCATATCGGAGTCCGACTCTAGATCGTCATCTAGAGACAGATCATCTGCGTAGGACTGATCTTCAACCTCCCGATGTTCATGTAGTGCAAGCTGGTTGCTGCTTCCATACCGCTTGCGTTGTGGTTTCCCACCTGCAGCGGGCGCCTTCTTCCGCCTCGCGAGGTCCTTGGCCTCTAGGTTGACTAGATCCGTCATGATCTCTCGCCAGCAGGTATGGTCTTTGAGTGCTAACAGGGAGAGGTATTCTTTAGGGGCCACTCCCATGACTACATCCATACAAGACACGTCGGTCATTCCAAGATCGAGAGTGGTGAACAGTCCAGTCAAGTGCTGTTCCAAAGCCTGCATGGAGGACCTCCATGTTTGGCCCTTGAGGGCCTCAAGCTTCAGCCTAGCCTTGAGCGCAACATGCTTATCTTGGTACCGTGTGATGAGAAGGTCCTCGAGGGCGCGTACAGGGGCTACCTTCAGCCACTCAGTCAAGTCTATTCTTTCATAACCTGCAGCAACAGCTTGGAGTTCAATGTGATTCCGTACGGCAGGCTCAGTATTAGTGCCCATGATCATGATTCGGTCTTCTTGCGGTGTCCGCATGACCTCGAAGTATGACCACATGGAACTAATCCAAGAGGTGATATTCGCTTTCCCGTCGTACTTGGACGGCAAGGTGGCCGCCCGTTTGTCCACTACTGGACCGCTGTACTGAACGCCAGTAAGGACTGTGGCGTTTTGGGCTTATGTCCCTGCATTTGGGACTATGACTAGTGCAGAGCTGTCGGCGCTGCCGCTCGAGGAGTCGGCACCGGTTCCTGCGCTCCTCACAGTTCCACTTGCTCTTGCCACAAGGACTGTGTTAGATTGAGAAACTGGGACTGCAACAGGTCGAAGGTTAGGAGGGCGGGGGGCAGACAGTTGGGACTGTTTGAGGCGAAGTAGCTCAGCCTGCAACTCTTGGTTTCGCTGCTCTAGTGCTGTCACACGGGACTCAAGGTCTTCCAAGGTCCGCAGTCGAACCAAGGCTGCTACGGCAGCAGTTAGTCCCTCGTGGAACCGGTCAGCATTGGCTTCCGGGATCCGAAGGAGAGCCACCTGATCAGCAATGTTGGCGGTTCTGGCTGCTGCCTCTGCCTCCCTTTCCCTCTGCACGGCATCATCATAAAGCTTCTGGAAGAACGGTCTCTCGTTCCCATCTGCTGCATCGAGCATGACCTACCATTGGGCAGATGTGATGTTTGCCATGTCGGAGGAAGGGGTGCCAGTAGATCTCTCAAGAGGGGTCCGCTCTCTCCTTACGTTTGGACGAACACTCCTCTTGCCCCTCCTCACACTCTCAAACAGAACACCTTCTCTCTCCCTTCTCTCTCTCTCAGCTGTCTGCGCACGCGTCTCGATACCGGACATAGATAGTTCAGATGAAAGAAACAAGCAGGAAATCACACAGAGAAGAAGGTAGAACTCCTAGCCGGAGCGGCGATTCATTTGGACTTAGAGAATAGCACGCAGCGGAATAATAGAAAAAAATAAAACGGAAGAGAGGGCTGATTTATAGAACGGGCCCGATCAGATTAGCTGGAGATCCCCTCTTGTCTAACCTGACAAGGGACATGTATCACAATAAATCAGCCGAAGAAACCTAACTGCAGCAATGGAGATTTCGAGGGGTGCAGACGGTCGCCGAGCCAGACGCGGGGCAGTATGTGCTAACATTTGGTAAGGCCAGTCAAGATCCCCTTGAAAGGAATGCCCTTGCTATCCGTATGTCCCCCAAGTTCATCACAACAAAGAAATGCACTGGCGGCAACAGATCTGGGCCCAAAAGGTCTTGTCCCGTTGGGCCTGGTCCCAGTGGGTCCCGAGGGGTCCAAAGTAGGTCGTGGACCAGGACCAACGTGACAGGGGTACCAAGTCGGTCCCAAACTGCCACTACCGTACTGAAAAGGAAAAGACAACTTTCAACGAGAACTTACCCCTACAGCCGTTCAGAAATGAAAAGACAATGCACCGTAGAAAGATATGTCATTTAGAACAGATACATCATCCATCCATCCATCAGGTGAGAAAGGAATCCACATGCTTACACACACAACCAAGACCGCAAAGAAGAGGAAGAGAGCCCAACACACCCCCAACAGGCCATGAAGTACCAAGCAACCTCCCACGGGCATAACCAGGTCACACGACACTTACCTGTGAGGCCCGACCTCCAAAGAAGGATAACGAGTCACCCCCCTCTCTCATAAGTCCTCCTGACCCTTAGCTACCACTACACTAACTGTCCTAGCATGACTAAGAGGGCCTTCCTACACCCCTGTTGCAAAGCCGGACTCCCCGTCGATGTCTGAAGACCAAAGTAGCAACTTGCAGCAATTCGATGCAGATATGGGACCCTCCGATCAAGTCTCCCTCTTGAGGGGAAGCCCAAAAGTCACTGAATGTCTTCTTGAAGTGCAGATTTCAAGTGCGAGTACCTCTCACTCTCTACTCCCTCTCGCTTACGCCAATCAGCCTCCTTTGTGTCTCGCCACCCTATCCATTCACTCAGTCAACCTGGTCAGGTCAAATGTCGACCCTACATGACCTAACCAGGTGGGGGCAGTATCCACATACCTCACTGCCGCACTTAACCCTAACTTCCAACCCTAATCCGRRRTTAGGTTAGCCCTGACCTAAYTCGGAAKTAGGTTTAGGGTGACTAACACCTCTCGCCRGCAAGTAAGTCCGCTCCGATACCAATTGTTACGATTCTGGTCATTTCCCAAGTGCAAATTCACAATGAAAGACAATGCCACCCAATTGCGAAAGAAATGAAAGCACTTGCAAAGAGATGAAGACAAGAAGAGAGGGAAAGAAGAAGAAGAAGAAGAAGAAGATGTGCAACAGCAAGACCAATGACAATTCCCCCCTTCTCTCTCCACCTTCCTCCTACTCCTTCTCTTCACCAAATGTTATTATTCTCTCAATAATAATAATAACAATGAATGGATGGACTAGAATCAATATCCGAAGTTCCCTCTTACTGCTGACTCAACAACAACAACAACAACAACAACAACAACCAGGCCACCATAGCTATGGCTTCCCTCCTTTAGTCTCCTCTCTTATGCATAGGCTATGGCGGACTAATGAGGGCCTTGCCCTGACATCCAAAGCACAATTCAAAGCAGCTATGGTGCTGCGCTGATGTCCAAAGGACAACACAAAGCAGCTATGCCGCTGCTGACTGGTCCGCCATGCCTGACTCTGCCTCGATCTTCCTTGGTGCCGCACTACCCCAACTGGGGCAGCGCTGCTTGGAGGTGAAGGACCGCTGGAGCTCAGCCTGGCTATGGCGAGCAGTCCAGCTTGAGGAGGAGGAAGAAGGGGGCATGGTAGGAGAGTGGCGGGGCCCAACAAGGTGATGAAGATGGTGTCTACCATAGCCACGTAAGTGCCCCGCCACTCTCCTACCCCTGTCTCTTATACACATCTAGATGTGTATAAGAGACAGGTCCACCATAGCCAGGTAAGTGCCCTACCACTCTCCTACCATGTCCCTTCTTCCTCCTCCTCAAGCTGGACTGCTCGCCATAGCCAGGCTGAGCTCCAGCGGTCCTTCACCTCCAAGCAACGCTGCCTCTGTCCAGCGCTGCGCTCCAGCAGCATGTCGCCAATCCTTGCACACCGCAAATGTGGAAGAGCTCTTTGCTCTTCCTGGAGATATAGCGGCCTACCGGCCTCCTGGGCGGTGACTTCCTAGGCCGAGCGGCCTCCTAACAACCGGTACCTTCTCCCTTTCGGAGGGAAACATCATTGCACGCTCTGCTATCCTCCGTACAGGCCCTAGACCCACAAGCGGTTAACGGGTAGCTGAAAAATCAGGAATGAAAATTCTGAAGTGATTTTGGGCAGTGTGAAAATCCCGAATGCTCCTGAAGTGGTGAAAGGTCCGAAGACCTTGAAAACCACCTGTTTAGGCAGGCTGCATCCTGAAGTGGTGAAGTGAGAGTTTTGGGCAGTCTGAAAATCCTGAATGGTCCTGAAGTGGTGAAAGGTCCGAAGACCCTGAAAACCACCTGTTTAGGTAGGCTGCGTCCTGAAGTGGTGAAGGGTGTTCTGGAGTGGTGAAAGGTCCGAAGACCCTGAAAACCACCTGTTTAGGCAGGCTGCATCCTGAAGTGGTGATGGGTGTCTTGAAGTGGTGATGAAAAATACGACTGTTGTTAACCTTCTCTCCCTAGACCCGGGCTATTTGGACTGGTACCGGCCTACCGCTATCCTACCGCTACTGGGCCTCTAAAATGCCAACTTTTTATCTTCTTCTGCTCGGCCTCCAGTACCCGACACTTCTACCACTACTTCAGTGGTACCGTCCTACCTGCTATTGGAGTGTTTTCCCCCTGCAACCCTTCACAGTCACGGCCACAGGTAAGTACCGCCCTGCGGGGCCTTGCAACCAACAAGTACCCTTGTGGGTCACACACACACTCAACCGACAAGCACTCAGATAGGCATGCAAACCAGCAGGCACGCACACACGCACAGACATGGAAATCACAGCAGAATGCGGGAATTTCAACAAGGCATTCATTCTAGCGGCATATGCCAGAAATCAGCAGTGTTCTCAGTCTGTGTTTTTGGCGGGTCAATACACACTATTAATTTCTGGTTCCCCTTTGGGCGCATCAATGAAATATTTTTGTGTGGGTGGGGGGTTTGGGTTCTTAAGGAGGAGAGCTCTACTCTGCAGGGGCTTCACAAGGTGGGCGGTGAAATGCCCTGGAGGGAGTGGCGACAAATTTTTGGGGGTTGCCCTATTCTGGGGCTGGGAGAGATGTATGGGCTGGCATCATATCCCAGTGGAGGCAGATAGGGGTGAGGGGGTGGCTGAGGCATACTTTGGGTGGAACTGTGTTGCGGACCTCGGGTTGGCCTGTGAGACCAGCCCCTTGGCCTGTTCTCACAGGCCTGTGTTGTATTCGGGGTAGGCCAGTCCAGGCTGGTACCTTTGTCGGTACCAGCCAGTCCAGTCCAGTCCCGTCAGTCCGCTGGGGTATACCCCAGCCATTGTCTGTTTTCAGCCTCATTCTTCACTTGCCCATTTCTGGAGTACGTGCGTTGGAGTCCTGCCTGGGAGCTGCGCTGTGCGTCATCTTGCTCCCCCTTCTTCCTCCATCTCCATCTCTACCACTAGCGGAGCACCATACCTGGTGGGTCTGCTACATTGGTATCGGAGCGGGAACGTTTCCCGCTCCCCCCCCCCACCCCGTACAGCTGTACAGCTGAGGAAAACAGCAAAACCCGACATCGGTTTTTTTTGTTGTTTTCGGGCGTTTTTCAGTGAAAACGCAGGGAAAAAGCGGCGTGTGCAGGAGGCGACACCTGGCGAAAAAGAGAGGCGCCATCACGAGGGCGGCCAAGGCCGCCCCACGCGTGCGCGCGCCCACGCTGCCCCGCTGCCCCGCCCCGCCCCGCTCCCGAATTTATATTATCAAGATCCGGGATGCAACTGCTGCTGCTAGGGTTTGAACCCAGATGGCTGCCGGGCCATGCACGTGTGTAAGCACCCTGCTAACACACTCGCCATAGAGTGTACATGGTGCTGTAGCACGGCACACTCGTGTTAAAGAGGTGCC